GAACATTTCATTTACACCCCCTTGTACATCACCAACGGCTCAAACAAATTTGGTCTGTTCAACATCAGTGTAATGACCTCAAATGGCTGCTGACGATGCTCGCACGTGACCTCGTATCGTATAAATAACAGGGAGTCAAGTGGGTTGGGAAACCACTAATAACAGCATGCGGACGTAAGCATCACTATGCAGGCCTTCAATGGTGACGTTATAGCTTAATGATCTGATCAAATCTCGTATTTCCGTTATTCCAGAATGCGCCGAATTGGTCGCTTATCAAGCACTCAGATTTGGTGGAATTGCTTAGCATGATTCGACAGCTATTCCCAAAGCTCGACTAGCGTTTCCTTTGCATCTCACCTCTTCCAGGCTGTCGGGGTTAACACGACAAGCATAAAATTTGCAAATTCCGAAACACTGAACAACGCAGGTGGCAGCTAGACCCAGATTTCGGTGAACTCACAGCGACACGAAACCAACAAGTCACGCGCGCTCAGGCGCAAGCGATGAAACCGCCACTCGCTTCAAGCTTTGGGAGCAGATCAAGCAAGCAGATGAACCGTCAGCCAAGTTGCCAGCCGTGCTTGTTGTGGCAATCGTGCAAACCAGCCGCCATAAGCCTCTTTTCTTTTGACAATCCATATGGAAGGCAGATATTTGTTGGGTCGACAGGGTGTACTTATTAACGCTTCCATAGGCAGAGGGGCTGAGCTCCCGCCACACTTTCTGAAGAACAACATTTGCTCTGACGGTGTCACTGGAAATAAATGTTCAATAGGATGATTGTACCCTCCTTCATCACCTAACTTGGGAAACACTTTGTCGTTCGCCGTATCCGCATAATGAACAGTCACGTCTGATGCCATTAGGCTCACCGCGTGCCACACAAGGCGCCGTTTTGGGACGGGTTGTCAGGACGACCTGTGTCTGGTATCTGGCCATGCAATCCAAACACAACCCGCAGCAATTCACGAAAAGCACCCCCCAAAGTCATACGCAATAGTGCGAATGATGTGGATTCCTTGGATGCATGGGGCTTCCTTTCAGTCTTATAATGCTACGGCGCTTCCAGACACTTTCGCCCTTGCTCGGTGCCCAGCGCAAGAGCAATCGACATCTACCACGTTTAGTTATACTAAGAATATCACAGAATCCCAAATCGTGAGCATTCACAGTGCAAAGAGCAATTGACATCAGTCACATTTATTTACACTAAGAATATCACAAAATCTCAAACGGTGACCACAAGTGCTTTCATAGCACAACAGGAACTTGCAAATGACATTTTGCCGACAACATGCCAGTCATCAGATTAACCCGCTTTTGGCGTCTGCATGCAAAAAAGACCAACGAAAATATCTGAGTGGTTCGGATAATCAATCCGTACACACGCTTGCCACGAAGCGCAAAGGTAATACACACGGCATGAATTACTTGCAAGAGCATTCATAGATGACACCACACTGCATGAATGACTTACACGAAATCACACCGGAACACCATTCGTCTTCCCACCACCGCTGCCGGAAACGCTAAGTTCGCAGATGCTACGCCAAGCTAATGTCACACGTGCGTACTGGCCCCTGACGGCACTGAGTCCACCTACAGTTCGTCTCGCTCCTCCCCATCACCGGGAGGCGGCGCGCTGTCAGCGCCCTGATACAGCTTGGCGACGATAGGCTGCACCAGCTCGTCTAGCTCCTTCTTCTGCGAGCGAAACTCGTCCGTCCCGGCGTCCTGGTTCCTCTCCAGCCAGCCCAGCCTCTCCTCGATCGCCTGCTCAATTTGGGACTTCTCGTCGCCCGACAGCTTGGCGTCCAGCTTCTCCTTACCAGCCAGCTGGTTCTTCAGACCGTAGACGTACGCCTCGAGCTCGTTGCGCGCCTCGACGCGCTCCTTGACGAGCCGGTCGTCCTCTGCGAAGCGCTCCGACTCTTGGATCATGCGTTCGATGTCCTCGGGCGTCAGCCGATTCTGGTCGTTGGTGATGACGATGTGCTCTTTGGCGCCGGTTGCCCTTGTCTTCGGCCCGACACCTGCAGGATGCCGTCGGCGTTCAGCTCGAACGTCACCCCGATCTTGGACACGCCGCGGGCCGCCGGCGGGATCCGGTCAAGTCGAAGCGGCCCAGCTGGTGGTTGCCCGTGGTCATCGACCGCTCGCCCTCGTACACCTGGATGGTGACCGTGTCCTGGTTGTCGGCCGCCGTCGAGAACAGCTGCGACTTCTTGGTGAGGATGACGGTGTTGCGCGGGAATCAGCTTGGCCATGACGCCGCCGGCCGTCTCAATGCCGAGCGTCAGCGGGTTGACGTCGAGCAGAACGATGTTGCCCGTATCCTTAACGCCACCTAGGATGCCCGCCTGTACGGCCGCGCCGTATGCCACCGCCTCATCCGGGTTGATGCCACGACTCAGCTCCTTGCCGTTGAAGAACTCCTTGACTAGCTGCTGGATCCTGGGGATTCGTGTCGAGCCGCCGACCAGCACGATCTCATCCACGCCCTTTTTCTCCAGGTCAGCGTCGTCCAGCACCTTCTTCACCGGCTTCAGGGTTGCCGCGGAACAGGTCCATGTCCAGCTCCTCGAACTTGGCGCGCGTTAGGGTCTCCAAGAAGCTTTCACCTTCCAACAGGTTGTCGATCTCGATCTTGACCTGGTGCTGGGAGCTGAGCGCCCCGTTTAGCCTTCTCCTTCTCGCGCCGCAAGTCGTTGCACGGCCGGTTACTGGAGCGCAGGTCCTTGCCGTGCTTCTTCTTGTACAGCTTGATGAAGCACTCCATGACGCTCTGGTCTAAGTCCTCGCCTCCGAGGTGAGTGTCGCCGTTGGTGGCGGCCACCCTTAAACACGCCGTTGTCGATGGTCAGCAGCGACACATCGAACGTGCCGCCGCCCAGGTCGAATACCAACACGTTCTTTTCGCCCTTTTTGTCCATGCGGTAGGCGATGGCGGCTGCGGTCGGCTCGTTGATGATCCGCATGACAGTGAGCCCGGCGATGGTACCAGCGTCCTTCGTCGCTTCACGCTGCGCGTCGTTAAAGTAGGCCGGTACCGTGACGACAGCGTGCGTCACCTTATAGCCCAGGTACGCCTCGGCCGTCTCTTTCATATTGGAGAGCATCATCGCTGAGATCTCCCCTGGGGTGAAGGCCTTGGCTTCGCCGCTCGCCTCCACCTTGATGTGAGCATTGTCATTTTTCTCGATGACCTGCGGAGGAGAGGAGTTTGTTTCAGTTCGGTAGCCTGAAGCAATTCTGTCAAATGTTTATCTACATGTAAGCTTAAAGTAATGAAAAGGCACATACTTAGGTATGTCTAATAGTTCAACATCTTTTAGACAGACAAGGAAAAGCGCGGCACGTTGATCCGACTGTACTGCCAGTGAGTTCACCTGTAAAATTACTCTGAGGTTTGCATTTAAGCGCGTAGCGGCATGGTGTCGACATATTCAACACGTTCTTTGTCCGTGCCAAGCCCAAGGCAATGATTCTGCATCGGCAAATATGAAAAAAAAAACATAGCAGGACGAACCCGAGCTAACAACCACCTCACAACGTCATACCTTAAAGGGGAGTAGTTTGACGTCGTTCAGCACGTTCCTGTCGCCCCAGTCACGTCCGATCAAGCCCTTCACGTCAAACGCGGTGTTCTCGGGGTTTGGTTGTCAACTGGTTTTTGGCGGCATCACCGATGAGACGCTCGCTCTCCTTGGTAAATGCTACATATGATGGTTGCAATGCGGTTGCCCTGGTCATTGGCAATTCTCAACACGGCCATTCTTGAACACGCCAACGCTTGCAACAATTATGCTCTGTGTAAGCACCACAAACGGCAAAATGTGAAACGGGTCAGGAAGTATATAGTTTCAAAAGCCCTGAAATTATTGTGATCAGGTAAAGTAGGCAATCGTTGGATGTTTGTTTGGTTTGGAGCCCTTCTGACCAGAAATGACCATTTCAGGGTTACGGGATAAAGGAGG